TTAACATTAAGTTAAATCTCAGAATGAACAATAATTGATAAAATCAAGTCTGAGTCATACATAAAAATAAGTCGCAAGTTGATACATAATATAGGGAACAAATTGAAGATAAAGATAAAGAAAGAATAAGTTGTCTCACTGAAAAGATCAAACACTTTTATTTTCATCTACCATCATTTATTGCTTTATTGAAATTACATACATTTACAGGTTTGTTTGCTCAATTTAGGCTTATAAGCCTTTGTCAAGTAGAATGGTAGATAGAACAATTTTGAGAAGGACATCACAAAGAATACATCCAGGGTTACGAAGGGATTCGAACCCGCCACCTCCGTGCTTCACATTGCGTTTGACGGGCGATACCGCTCTGTCAGGGAAACCAAATCATTTATTTATTGGTACATATAAATGCAATCTTGCGTGCTCAATTACATAAGTACAGCTTATAAACTTTTATCGAGTATTAAGATAGATAGTATAATTCATAGTAGGATAGCACGAAGATACATCCAATGTTAAGGCGGGATTTGAACTCGCTACCTCCACGCTGTAGAGCGTTTGGTGGGCGATGCTACTCTGCCAGGAAGGCCCTGAAGTTTTCTTAGACGTCATCGGGGGTCGGGAAACCCTGACTGCCTGGGGGTTGGGTTGTGAGTTCGATTCCAACCGGCCCCACCGGCCATCAGTCTCCCCTAAAGAAAATGATGACTGGTGCTCGCTAAATCTGTTGGGGTCACAAAGTCCTCCAAGTTACCGTAACAAACCAATACCTTTTGGGGTAAAGATCATGTTCTGGTTCAGGTGAAAATTACGATCTGCGGATGAATGGATGGTGTCTGAATGTGGTCCTCCTTGTAAAAAGGGATGTCCAAATCCTCCTCAGGGATATTTTCCAGCCCGTCAAGTTCAGTACAGTACTTAGAAGTCATCGTTCGAATTTCGTCATTTTTAAAGAAATTAAATTTATAAATAAAATAACAGAAAATAAACAAATTAAAGGGTGGAATTTCTGCTCAAACAATTCTCACTCGCACGCGATTGTTTTTGAAACCACAATCATGGTATCACAACAAAATCGAATTCCGTATTAAAAGAAGAGAAACAAATCTTCTTAAAAACTACTTCATAATATTTATAACTTTCTTTTTAATAATACATGCGGGGGAAAAAAAAGGAACGGTTAAAAATGTTAGAATATAGTAAAATTTACTGAGCTTCTGGCTCAATGAGAAGACCACGATGGAAAATAATTTTTACCGAAGGGCTATGGTTTTTAAGTAAAATTAATGATATGGTTTTATTACCATATTGTTTACAGGTAAATGAGGTATAATTCTGGTAATTTTAACCAAAAGAGGGTACTTTAAATGGAAGTTGTATAGTTTAAGATATTGCAAAAACGTTCAGTATGATAACCTCTATTTTAATTAGTAAACAGCTGTTAGTTTTGTTTCTCGTCGGTTATTTTTTTTCTTCATACCTAAACTATAAGTTAACAACTACCTAAAACTATAAAAAAATGTACATTTGAAAATTTACAAATGCCCGGAAGAGGCTAAACGAAATCAGTAGCTTAACTATAACACATCAGAGATGTCCCAACATCCTAAAATAGAACCTCAGAGGTATTTGGCAAATCGGTATACAAATATCACAAATTAGAGAAAGCACCATAAACATATATCCCCGCTACGTATCGAACCCGCTACATCCTTGTTACAATCGATGTCTCTTTGTAATGCCTTTCTTTAAATTGAGCAATCTGTTTTTTAACTTGACAAGAGCTTATAATAAATCATACTTCGCAATAAGCTCACAAGCTTGCATACGTGTGAGTGACAATAAAAAATATTTCGAATAGTAATGTTTTTTCTTAATTATTTTTTACAACAGTCTGGTTTTTTCACTGGAACAGAAAGCAGCTGAGAGGTAGCGCGTTAGAATGAACGCGTTTAGTTTTGATACATATACAAGCTTGTGTTCCTTATGCAAAGATTGGCTTGTCTCTTGGCAAATTGTAGAACAGGTAGCACAAAATGAAAAAAAAAAAAAAAAAAAAAAAAAAANGAACTCGCTACCTCTATGCTTCAGAATCTTTGGCGGAAGGGCAACAACCAGCAGCAACAAAGCCCCAATAATAAATGGATGTTTTACTTGAACATCGATGTGTACTATTGCTGCACCGATAAACACTCTAAAGAGTAGACGTAGTGTGCTCGAATCTCGCTATAACACTGGATGTATATTCTTGCTGTCTTTCGCAAAATTGTGCTATGAATTTTTTGAACTGAAAAGAGTTTATAAACCATTCAGAGTGTTTAGAATGAAACAGACGTGTATGTGTAAATAAATTAAATAAATCTCAGTGCCTCCATAAAAAATGGCTGAAGCAATCACCATAATTAGATATATCTGAGTTCAGTATCTTTAAAACACTTTAATTAAGCATTGTTGTTGTTGTTAATTTACGTCGCACTAGAGCTGCACAATGGGCTATTGGCGACGGTCTGGGAAACATCCCGGAGGATGATCCGAAGACATGCCATCACAATTTTGATCCTCTGTGGAGGGGATGGCACCCCCGCTTCGGTAGCCCGACGACCTGCGCGCGACGTCAAGCACTTTACGGTAGCACAGTTTAACGAGGATCAATACCGCACACCCTCGGTCCCTACGCAAACTGATCCAAGTGGTCACCCACCCGCACACTGACAGTAGCCAGTGATGCTTGACTTCGGTGATCTGCTGGGAGCCGTGTCTTAACGATCAGTCCACTGCGGGACATTAAGCATTGGAAGTCATCATTCATGTCACTTTACCTCTTGTTATAATTGAGATATTATATTAAAACGGTTATCTTACTCCTATGAACCATTTAAAAAAACAATTAAATGGTTTCACTTCTGTGATTTAACTAAACCATAGTCTATTACTATTCTAATAAGTAAAAGACATAAGCATCACAAAGTTTGCAATAGTGAATATTTTAAGAAAGGTATGTAAGCTACTTTATTTATGTCGCACTAGAGCTGTACTGTAAACTATTAGTGACTGCCTGCGAAGCTGGGAATGATCGTAAAAGACAGACAGTCTGTCTATGGAAGGAACTCTCCTACTCATTCGTCTGGTACAGTGGCAGTGACAATGATTACGAGGTTTATCTATTTCAAGTAGGGGTGCTAGGTCAATATTTAAGACAGGATTTGGCTCGAGTCAAAGGGAGAAAGGGAATCAGGGGAAAGAGAAGCTCGCCTCGTTGAAATGTGCTGTTTCTTGTTTCCATAGCAGTAGACAGCCTTATACTTTGGGGCGAGGGGAGTTCTATCCATAGACAAACTATACCATCACAATTTTTGATCCTCTGACCTCATTCGTGAGGCCTCTTCCTCAATTAATACTTAGATCGGAAGAAAAATGTAATTTTCTGCAGATCTCTGTACCCATGGAACTTCTGAGCGGTCAACCATAGGACTTCCACAGATTTTACGGCTATGTATATAGCCTGTGCTTTGTTGGTCTTAACTAAGTTGAGGTCCCTCTGAACTGGAGTCTGATTCTCTAACCAATGGGCTACCACAGACAGCAAAAATTAGAAAAGTAAAATCGTAAAAATTTTACTTATTTTAAAATCTACTTATTTTGGGATAAAAAATTATTATTATTTTTATTATTTATTTATGTTTACGACCAGTTATTAATAAATCAATTTTGCATATATAGAGGTATGACATATTTTGATTGCGATTTCTATAATAGAAGTTGTTTAAGGGAAAGTTACCTTAGGCCAAATTCTACTCCAGGTTAAACCAAAGAGTATTGTTCAATGAATGCAATTCTCTTTTATTTTATTGCTTAAATATTATAAATTTCATTGGGAAAGTTTTAAATTATTATTTTATCATATTTGCTTCTGATAGACACAAATGCGGAAAATAAATTTTTGATTTTCGTTTCATTTAGTTATAGATAAGACAACAAATAAAAAAGTAAAAGAAATCTTGCATCTTCAAAATTCATTTATTTTTAGCATAGTTATGAATACATATTTATAATGCTTTTAAAACCATTAATACAAAGTTTACAAGTTTGCAGATATTTTTGTCTATAATACATATATAATCAACAAATTTGAAATTTAAATATATGGTTTTTAGTTAAGCATTAGCTACAAAACACTTAAAAAAGAACATTTTCAGCTGAAAGACTCTATGAAAAAAATCATATAAGTATTTAAATGAAAATTATTGATAAGTTTTTAACAAATGTTTAACATTCATAAGTTTTCTGACAACTGTATAAATTTATCATAATTAATTATGCTTTGTATTTCTGAAAGTTTATTGCTTCATTATACAAAAACATATAAATTTTTGACCTAGTCTATTTAAAAATCTAATTTAAAAAAATATAAGACCTTTAAACGAAAATAGACGCTATCATTTCAGAGGCATAATTTAGCTTTCTTTGTTTGTATCTGGGTTGTAATTATTTGTACTCGAATGTTCTTTTGGTGAGATCAACGCGTCAACATTATTGAAAAACAGGATTTTGCGTGAATTGTCTTTCAATATTCCACAAACAAAACACGAATCTTCACGCAAAAAGTCTATAACTGGCAAGCAATAAAAGTCTTCTATCTCTATACACTTCTTTCAATAAAATATTAAAAATCGAATTTTTGAGGCTTTATAATTGGAATACTTATCAACTAATTTATTTCCCCTTAAATAAATTAAAACTTAAACACAATGAGTTTTGATAAAAAGTTTTGCAAATATTTCAAAATAATTTTAAAACTATAGAAATTTTATAATAACTCCAATTAGAAAATAATAATAATGATAAATAATAACATTTATTATTTCATAAAATTCATGTGAAGAGAAATTCCTTTGTTAATATTTCTTTTCAGAAAAAAAAAACAAGAAAGATATTTCTTTACCGACATTTTTTTAATATATATTCCTTATTAGTTGTACTAAAAATTATTTGTGCAGTAATTATAAATTGACTGATATTTTTTTTAAAATACTCAAAGCTACTTTTTTCAAAGATTTTCATCAGTTTCGCAAAAAAAATGCTGGCCTGGTAATCAGAATTCACCAGCGCTTTTTAAATAATCTAAATTATTTTAAACTTACAAATTTTAATTATTGGCTTTTTTGAAAATTATAGTTTTACGAATAATTTACTGTAAAGAAGAAACATTATGTACTTATCAACATTTAAATTACATAGTAATTCAAGTAAAATCACAGTAATTCAAGTATTGTAAATTATTTTGCATTTTAAATTTTTTGCAAATCACAAACCATTCTGTACATCAAAAAAAACATCCAAACAGTTTAATTTAGAACATAAATGCAAATTTTTTAAGCACTGAGAATAATGCTTATCTTTCCAAGATAACAGCCTAATTACTTAAATAAAAACAATTCTTTTTTAATCTTTATACTATGCGAAGCTTTAAGTACTAATTTTATTACTTCCAATATTCAATGTGTCGAATAACGGAAATAAATCTCAAGTTTAAGTAAAAGTGTGAAATAAATGTGCATTAGTTTGCAAAACACAATATTCATTACACAGATTTATGAATAATTCGCATAAATATATATGATTGTTTAAAGTGATATTAAATCAGTTTTTATTATTAAAAGTTCTTCAGTATGTGACGAATAATTCACAAAGCCGAATCAAACTGCAGCATTTTCTGCTTCCTCAGTAAACTATAACTTTCATGTTTGGTTCAAAAAGTACAAAAAAGGTTTCTTCTCAGAAAATGCTATGATATTGTTTTTATCTATATACAATAAATATTTTTGTTTAACTATACTCAGAATCTATTTACAACGTTAGTTAAATAATTGTCCTATAATTGAGCTTTTCATCCCATTCCAGAAAGCGTGGGACGAACAGCTGTTGGTTGGACTGCCGCATAAGGTGGATAAAATAAAGCCGGATAATTAGAAAATGCTGTTGCAGCAGCACTCACCACGGGCAGTCCATTCCCTGGAATAGGAGATGTTCCTCCACTTGCTCTCTCATGGTACAAAATAGGTACCCTAGTAAGTCTTTGAGTTGCTGCTGCATGCAAGTTAGCAGCTTCTATGTCAGCTGCCATTTGGCGTTTCCACTTATTACGTCGATTTTGAAACCAGATCTTGACCTGAGTTTCAGTCAGGTGCAATGAAGATGCGAGTCCAGCTCGCTCTGAGCTAGAAAGATACCGTTTCATTTCAAATGTGGCTTCCAATTGGTATACTTGGCTGCGTGTAAAAACTGTTCTTGTCTTCTTTTTCCTCCGATGAGTTTTAGTTTTCTTGTCATCACCTTGACCGGATCCATCACCTGCGCATAAAGATTTGGAACCAGTCTCATGTTCTGAGTCTGAACCTCCAGAGTCAGGCCGCAATTGAGAAGCTGAGGCTGTATTGGGGCTGGGAGATCTACTGGAATTGTTCAAATCCAAACGATAGGGAGAATGAAAGGATGGTGAGGAGGATACTTGCTGAGAGGTAGGAGGACTCTCTGAAAAAAAAAAACACAACAATATAGATATTTGAGGATTCATGATGGATTAAAGTAAGAATTCATGATTTTATAAGGCAAAAACAACAAACCATAAAATTACCGGTTTTATGCTAATGATTAAAAGCACTTTTAAAATAACAAAGGAAAAAGGGATGTTATTATTTGCATAACTTTAGAGATGCGCTTTGCATACTGAGATGGACTTCTTGTATCTTTTGAACAATGGCAATTTTGAGATTATTTAATTTTTAAGAAGCATTTTTTACTTAAAATATCTCCAATGATAAAAATTTTGTGATAATCAATTGACCCAATAATAATCAATTTAAGGAAATAAAGTGACTAAAGTATATATCGGCAAAAGTAAATATATAAATAAAGATAAATAAATAAATAAATATAAATAAGCAAATAAATATAAATAAATAAATAAATAAAATAAAAACCGTTGGCAAGATTTAATTAATAAGAATATTAATGCAGTAAACACTACGATATGTTTCGATAGTGTAAAATTTTTTTGCTTTAATGATCAGGGTTTAGTTTTTTGTCTAAATAAACGAATTTTGTGAAAGGTTATTTTAATTCTAAAAAGAATAAAAAATCTGAAAAGTGCCATTTATTCAAAGAAAAATTAAGTAATTTTTAATATCTTGAAACGCGTTTGCAGAAATATAAGCAAAATAGCTGAGCGTTGCTTTAAAAAAAGTTGCGAAAATTTCGAGTATTTATTGCAAATATAAGTTCTAATTTCTTTTCTTAGATTGTTTCTTTTGTTACAATTAAATTGCTTTTAGCCATTTACGATATTTGTAATTGGTTTTATTTACTTACAATAGTTGTTTTAAAGTTTTTTCTTTTATAAAATAACTTCCCTTACCTTCATTGCTGAAACCTTTACGGCACATAAAATACTATTATAATTTATTACTATTATTATTACTTACTATTATCATTAATTATTATTATATATAGTTTCATAAAATTTAATTTTATAAAAACTAAATTCATATATTTGTGATATGCACATAAACAAGATTATTGATAAATGTTTTTGATGTTAACGTAAATGATACACTATAAGAATATGACGACTTTATTTTATAAATTAATATAATACTCCTAAATGTTTTAAAAAAATTATTAAATCGATGAATCACTTTTTTATTTTGTTATAATTCATGTTTTTGATGTACCTTGAATTAATAAACTTTTTACCTTCCGTTTAAATGATATACTTTTGTTAATTTTTGTTCAAGAAAATAACGCGTTTCCTTTTAAATAAACACGTAAAATTTGTAATTGCAACAATAAAACAATTCTGTACACAAACAATGCAACAATTCTGCACACATTTAAATTTATAGTAAATTAGTTTGCGTACAGAATGATTTTTACCCCAATTTCATTAAACAAAATAGTTTTTATTTGTAAATGCGAACCTTGTTTTAGTAATGTCTTTTTATTGATGGAATTTTAGGGCACTCTGAAACTCATTTTCATACAAACTAAAATATCACTAAAGATGGATGTTGGAAATCAAACTGAGACAAAAAAAATAACGTTAACCATTTGGCTTCGTTAAAAACATTAACTTTAGTAATATTTAAAAATAAGTTATATAATCAGGCTTAATAATAATTTCAATAATAGCTAAAGATAAGTTTTATAGTAAAATTCCGCATCGGTAAACCACAAATTAAGACTAATACTCTGTGTATAGGTTTACCAAAGCTGCTTATAATTTCTAAACTAAGCCTATTTAGAGGATCTAAGCGATTTATTAATCGTAAAGTTGGAATAGTTGATATCGGTTTATGATTCTAAAGTTATAGCAATTCATTTCACTTCATTAAATTTGAGAAATGGAGGAATGATCACGAATTTAAAAACAATTGTACTTATATTTAAGAAAAAAAATATCAAAAATAACGATTGTGTACAATAATTTCATCAAAAAATAATTGCAGACAATAATTAGGTTAAGTTTGGTAATTAGTTTTTGAAATCATAAAATTTTAATTTAATATGAAATGAAAAATGAGTGATTTAAACTTGAATTAGCCAATGCAGAACCAACGAATTTGAAAATAATAAGAAACTCTGACTGTTTTAGAATAATTTATATTCTTTTAGTTAAAGTCAAATTAGGAAAGATACTTTGTTGTTAGAAATTCAGTGTTTTTGTATACTCAAAATGTATAACGTTAGATTAAAGTAACCCGAATAAAAGCGATTTAAAATATTATTCATGATTTTAGTGTCATATTAAATTCATAAATCATTTGATTCAATTAAATCATTTGGTATTAGATTATTTAGTATAGATTTTATAAGTTATAAATCCTTAGCCTTGCAATAAAGAAAATATATATTTCACAACTTCATTCAACTTCAACTCACGATATAACGTTTGATATTTGATATTAACTAAAAATTGCCTAAAAAGCCTTTAATGGTAGATTTAAAATTTTCTTACAAAATTAAAAAAATGGAAAATCCATAAGCTTTAAAACAATTTCTTAATTACTTTGGTCGATAAATACTTTTTTGAGAAAAGGTTTTTGGTAAAATTTGATACTTGAATTCTTTTGACTTTAAGAGTTTATGATGTATGGACTCATGTCAGCGTTTTTTAAGGGAAAAAATTATAGCATGAACAGCAGTTTTTTAACTGCTGTTCATGCTATAATTACAAACATCAGAACAAAAAAGCTTGAGATTCATTTTCGTGTTTTATTAATTTTTTATTTTTTTATTATTTCGGCGAATTGGGAATTTTTATTTTACCAACGCTTCAATTGAAGAAGTTAAATATTACACAAATGTGTTTAACTACTATATGTTGAACTAAATATATTTTAAACTCAATTTGGTGTCGTCAATGTATATTCATTATATTATAACGTGTATGTCATCAGTGGAAAACCTATCAATCTAATGTCATTATTGTATGCGTCTTCAATGCATAAACTCTCAAGCTAATGTAATTTAATTAATAAATATACATAATGGATACGCGAGTACTATGAGAAAAGTGAGTATTCAACAATCATAATAACATTTACCTAAACTAGTATATGCTTACTTATAGTAATGTCTACGTACTTATAATGCGTACTTATAGTAATGTCTAAACTAGTATATGCGTACTTATAGCAATGCCAAAATTTTTAAAATTTTGGGAATTTATTATTTAAAATTTATAAAAAAAAATTGTATTGAATATTTTTGTGTTTATGATGTCATTGGATCAATAAAAGCGATCTTCTATGCATTCCTTCACGTTTTCTTTTTCTGTATTTTTTTTCCTATCCAAAGCTTAATTTTTTTATAGCTTTCGCTAAACAATGTTTATTTTTCCATAATGTTGCATATAAAATTGTCACATCAACTAGTAATAAAATACACATAATTAACACAACAAGTAGCAGTAAATATAATTTAAGCAACTTGCGGCCTACATCATATAATTAAAATATACAATTAACACATCCTTAATCAAGACATTTAGCATAACATCAAGAATTTATTAATCAAATCCATAATATTATTTTTGCATGTCACGTGATCCAGGGTCCCAAGTGCGTATTTAAAATTCATAAAAGTTTGCAGTTCTAATCGTCATCGTTACTATGACTTACTCAAAACTTCTTTTGATGCTTATAATTCTTTTATTTTCTCCACATTTGTGTAAATAAAATACAAATAAGAATTCATTTGCAAATTCTTTTTTAATATTTCAAGTGTGTTAAGCGGTGCAAATTTGATTCAAGAACTGTAGACTTCATTTGTAAATCTGTTGTTAAAAGTAAGTTTACTCTGTCTGACTCTATATGTAGTAAAATATATTATCAGAGCAAAAAAAGTATGATCATTTTCATTCGTAAAAGTATAATAATAAAAAAATTCAATGTGCTTTATTACTTTTCCCAAGGCCATATTTTCAGATAAAGTAGTTCATTGAGACTCTAACTTTCTTTAGACAGAATATTATTTTAATTGTATCATATGAAATTATGCTTATAGATAAGAAGACATCCTACAATTTTGCCCGAAAATTTGAATCGTGTTGAAAAAAAATTTACTGCCACTTCAATAACTGCGCAAGTTGAACCACATTATCGGACTTCTTAAGCTTTATTATACAATACGATATTTCAACTTGAACGGATTCAATTTTACACCTTATTTAGATTGCACTGAATATTCCCTGTATTACGGGTACCGATGTTATGGTTCAAAGTAGAACCAATTTTTTTGTGTGAGTGGAAACCAACAGAAGATAATAAAAATCACTACATATAAGCTAAATCTCTAAAATCAAGGCAGTATTCAAGGGGGGGGGGGAGACAATGAAAATTGTCCCAGAGTTAGGTACAGCATAGGATCCGCACTGAGCAAAAAAAGGTGTGGTTTAAATTACTATATGGAAATGGTGAAATTTATCGTGTTTCTGGTCTAGGGAAAAACCGAAAAGCTTACTAATTTTCAGCAAAGCGCTTTGGTAATAACTTTGGTAAAATTTACAATAAAACATGCTTTTATAGTATGTGATAAAATTTGGTAAATGCGGCTTAATTTGGTAATTTTATTATAATACTGGAGAGCAAGGCATGAATACCATTTAATCGGTAAAATTTACTTTTAAGTTTTATATTTTTACTTAAATATTTTTTTTTACCGGATTTTTTTTCTCCGTGTTGTCAAAATTCCTTACAAATATGAAACGTCCTTTAATTTATTTTTAAAAAATTACAAAGAATTCCTTATTATAAATACGAGAAATCATGAAAACTATAATTTTGATAGGAAGGTTCTTCAGAAATTCTACTAAATAAAACAAAAAGAACTTTTTGTTTCTTAAGGAAAGGGGCTGCAGTAAATTTTTTCTTGGGGTTGTGTTCAGTCTTACCTAAAATAATGTTTCTAGTGAGATTTATTAAACCAGCACAGAAAAAAAATTAAAATCTTAATATTTCACAGAAAATGTTTTC